GCTGAGCGTATGGAATATTAGCCCCTTCGAGATTCCAGGGGGTTGGTTTCCATATTTCTTCAAAATGTTACAATGTGATACAGTCTTAGGATTGAGTTGATTAGCTAGACTTTGCTAAAAGCTCAAGTGTAGTATTTACGCGCTAGGGCAGTAAATTGTAAGATGTTGGTAGACAATATGTCAAGGTATGGGTACGTGGAAGATTGACGAGGTCAAATCTGGTGAATGAGATTGTCTACAAGGAGGAAAGGTGGTCCACCTGAGGCTAGAGAGTAACTAAATACAGATGCGTTTGCGCTCTACGCGATTCCCTAATCACACGTGACCCTATCTAAATGTAGCAATACCCTAACACACTGCTCGCAGACCTTGTGTTCCCTAGAGTTCTCGACAGTTTTCCTCCGTTGTATTGGACCAAGTTAGAATGTTGGTATCGTCAACAAATCCTACTGCTGATGTAGAGGAAGTGTTCAACATTGGAAGGAATGTACTGACGAAAAATAGAAACAGTATAGGTGATAGAGAGGAGCCTTGCGGTATTCCTGTACTGGTAGAGATCTTCTTTCCTCGGAATGATCCCAGTACCATGGAGGTTGTTCTATCTTCGAGGAAAGATTTTATATATAGTATAATCCACCCCGGAATTCTTTTCTCCCCCAGGTTATGTAGTAACCTTTGGTGGGACACGTTGTCAAAGGCTCCCGATATATCTAGACTTAACAGAGAGGCCACTCGCTTCTTATCTTTACCCCAGATGGTATGAATCTGTTCCGCGAGAAGCTCTACTGCCGAGATGGTGGACCGTTATAGTCCAGCGCCCATCTGCTCTTCGGGAAAGAGATTGTAAGATTCGGCTGCCTTGGGGAGACGATTGGCTACCAGCTTTTCTAGCAGCTTACCTATAGTGATAAGAAGTGCGATCGGTCTATAAGCTTTTGGAGTGTCGTAGTTTGGCTTCTGAGGCTTTCTCAAGACAATAGTGGTAGAATCCTTGAACTCTCTCGGATGATATTCAATTTTGAGACAGGCATTGAACAAGACTGTTAGTATTTTGCTCAGAGTCTTCCTACACTGCTTTAAGACTCGATTCGGTATACCGTCCGGATCTGGGGCTTTGTCACTGGGTAGGGATCCTGCTACTTCTTCAATTTCATCCTCGGTCATTCTGTTGGAGATTGTCTCTATTTCCGGGGGATAGATTGTGTTAGCAATATCGCTGGTACCTGCCTGCGAGGGTTGTGGGAAAAAATGAGAAGCCATGATGTTGGCTTTCTCCTTGTTTTCTTTGACAGCATTTCCTTTGGCGTCCTTGAAGTCTGGTATCAGAGTGGAACTCCCTATTTCTCCGTCATTTTTCTTGGCCCGTCTAGCTAGTTTCCATATTTTGATCGGGTCTTCTGTTATTTCCGAAACAAGTGCTCTCCAGCCTAGCGTTTTGGCTTTCTTTATCTGCCTTTTTTTCTGGTTTGTGGCTTCTTGGTATCCAACTCAGCTTTCCTCGTTGCAGTCACGGGTCCATTTTCTTCTTGCTCTCCATGCCCTTTTCACTGCAGCTGAACATTCCTCATTGTTTTTACTGAGTTATCTTTTACTTTAATTACATACACTTCGCCTGTCACAGGTGAGGCTCCCAGTTACCTGATACAAATTGACCACTTTACACATGAAGACTAAGATATACTGCTGCCAACCTCTAGGATGACGAGGGATGGCGCGTGGAAGATTACTTCAAGTTGCGTGGAGTTTGAGCCAAATTTGGCAAGAGACGAAGATATCAATACGTCGCTCTAGATGCACCTAGGATCAGTAGATAGGGTCATTGATAATCGTTTGACGTTTGTATGCAGACTCTCGGTTGATATGTGCATCGTAGTAACCATGGCAACCGAGGCCTCATGGTGAGTCAGCTGCTACTGCATTGCTCCACCCGCGAAAGTTGACAAACATTGTAACCTGTTGTGGTTGTGAGCTGTGAATTATATGGCGATTATGACTCTGCTGTCCGTTGATGGAGTGGCACGGGCTCACGTGCTAAGGTGAGTCGCGGAGATGGCATGATGGACACTAAGTGCGTATCACTGTGGCCAAATGGGTGTCAGTAGGTACCAAATATGAACTCTTACTGACAATGTTGATCTATGAAGGTGATGCTAGATGTGCATCCCGACGATTGATAATATCATCTAATGGATGATGTGAAGAATGACATTATTTGGATAGTTACCTCAATAAACTAAGCAGGTGAAGATATTGCATAGTATATGAATAATATCTGTGCATCAGCCTGTATTTTCCACCCCTTCCTAATACAGCAGCCCATCCTCCTTTCCCCTGTCTCCTAACAACTCAACCGGGCCAGCTCAACATAACCTCGTAGCCATTCTTGGATCGATAAATTTTGTAAACCACTCAGAAAGTAATGCTAGGAGTGCGAGTACATCCTTGTTCTCCGAGAACTACTCTATCCCATCGCAATCTTGACCTCGGGGGGTGGAAGCGCCGAGATGCCCAGCCACATCGTTTGGTCGAACAGCTCGGGGAAAGTGAATGGATCAGCAACATCCGCACGTCCAATGATGCGTGTGATTAGAATCGCTAACAAAATCCGAAATCACGAGATGTAGGCAAGAAGAAATATGAGGGTTCGGAAATGCCCCAATCGGGAAGCTTGGGCGTTGGTATTTTGAAAGCTTACTAACCGATCAGCATAGAATCAAAACATACTCGCGTTGAAAGCCTCATCTGTATACAAGAATCACTTGTTCCGAGGCCGTCAAGCTATCCTTAACATAAGATCCAGCTTTCCTAGCACAAAGCCGGTCTCAACACCCCGCCGGCGCATGCCAGCTTCTATATAGTGTATGAGGGGAGGGCAAGACAGAACACCTGTACGCGGTGTCCTCTACGAACCTGTGAGTGAAATATTCTCCCAGAGCCAAGTTCAATTAAATTTCGCAATATCAAAAAAGTTGGCCCACGAGGCAAAATTTAAAATTACTCCACCACGTCGTTTTTCCGCTCCCAACGAGTTTGACGTCTACCTAAGCCTCATCAAGTCTACAAGTACGACCAAGTACATCCTTATTCCAATGACCACACCTCTCTTCGACTTTCTCTGGCCTCAGCTGGCTGCCAAATACACGCCCACGCCGATATTTATACCCGACGGAGGACATAAAGCGTGGCGCACAAATCTGGGAGACAGTTCTTTGGGAATGGCGTGAGAGGATTCAGGACAAGTTAACAAGATGATGCGAAGGATGGATACAGTCTCGACGGGCGTGGAATTTTGAACTTTGGCAAGGAGTTTTTACAAATTTACCTTTGTGCGAGCCAATTCTTCGGTTGCAAGAGTGCAGGCGACACTACAAACACCGCCATGGTTGGATGGTGCGGTGGTACATCGTCTTGGCCGGTCTGCCAAGTAGAGTCTGGATAGCTTGGACACATATCCCACTCGAGACAGTAGATCGCTGGTTCAAATCCGGCAAAACACAACCACTTTTCTCGCGGCGCTGGTATGCATGGATGACGAAGGCATGCTTGGATAACCAAAGGTTTTGAAACGTCCTTTTGGTGGGTACTTACGGAGGAGGGTCGACTGTTTGTGTAAGTGAACATACCTCATAGTGGTATTTGTGAATGAAATCCAGAGTATGAGTGTCTCTAACGTCAAAAGAGTCATCCCACATGTATACATAGCACCGGTCATGTGTCATAGCTAGATATCTGAATACACATCAATTGAAAAAAAAACAAAAAAATAAGTACAGGAATTCTCTCTTCAGAGAATTATAATTAAAATATTGTACCTACAAGATCACTCATGCATTTTGTTATGAAACCGTCACAATGAGGCACTTATAATGTATGGTAGATTACCTGATCCGGCCCGAACCCACTCGTGCTCAAGCTCCAGTAGGAGTGCAACGGGAATTACTATACCTAGCACGTAAATGAACAAAACAAAACATAAAACAATAATAGTAAGGAACTCATACATTCACACCTCAGTTATCTCATACATCGTGACCCACAAACCTCACTCTCAGGGGGACTTTTCTCAACACCTGTCAGTGCTGTCCCCTACGAACCTCCAGCTCTCACTGTAGAGTCTGCGGAGCCGAGACTGAGTAACAAAGTCCTCACTTCGATAAGGATTCCCAATCGCTTTCGCCGTCTGTATCGTCTTCATCCCTCAACACATTCCCCTATCACCACTATCATGAAGCTAACCTCGATCAGACTAGATGGTAGGGTCGGAGTTCTACTCATCACCAACTCTTGATTATGGAGGAAAAGCCATCCGATGAGTTTCCGGAGCGTACCCAGCACCCGATACGGAGATGGTGGATTGGATCAAGTCGACCTCGACCGTTACAAAGATGGGAGATATAGATGAATATGTGCACTTCATGTGGTTCCGGTGTCTAGGCTTCGCCTGGCTGGGACTGCAGGTTTTTTGAGACTTTTTCCCACGCACGCAGTTTCCATTGCTACCTTTTTTTTTTTTGGGTAGAAGGTTCCGTGGAAAAGCTGGCCAAATCCCACGGGTAAGCACTGAGCTGAATGGCTATTCATCAAGGGGAATATATCAATGATCTTTCAAGAAACATGAGAGGCAAGGAGCACTGTACAGGTTGTGGCCTGGGTCAGAGAGGAGCCCAATACACTAGATAGTCTCTAACTCAAGGTTTACAACAAACATGTCTGTCTCTATCTCGGTTCGGTCACTTTGAGGCAGAGTTGTCTGCACAAGAAAGTTTACCGCAAAGATTTTCTATTCTTTTTCGACGCACTAACACCCAACACCCAACGCCCCACGTCCAATCTTTCTACCTGGAAAACCGAGGCATGAATCAATTTTTTTACGGCCCGCGATTAAGTGTTTTGTCAACAAATATTGCAACAAGTGATCATGGAGATCTCGACACTCTCTTCCAGAGGTCAAGAACGTCATTTGACAAAGTTTTATGCCCAGAAATTTTTACAAACAGTTATCAAATAATATTATTTACAAAATTGTCGAACAAGCTAACCGCTTCATCTGTAGAGCTAGTATGTAAGTCTATAACAGCTGAACGTAGGGTTGGTTTATCACCAGGAATTCGATCATTTAAAGTTGAGGATAAAAATCGGAAAATGACAGCATTTTGCTCATCACTGTGCATCGGAACTATAACGTGTTCTTTTCCTGACTTTTGCAAAATCACCTTAAGTTTCCCTGAAATGGCGACTAGATAACCGTTAATACCATTTCTATTCACAGACGTAAGGGCCTCATATCCATCCACAAGGGTTTGAAGTGGGATAGTTCTATCAACCACAATGCAAGGTTTCTGCGAATTAGTTTTACAACCATTTCCCGGCTTGACGACTCTGATCTGTCCGGAGTGGATCAGCTCGATGATGAGCCTTGCTTTGCATTTTGACAAACGTCTTGCTAAGATATTAGAAATGCTTATAACGTCTTTTTGACTCTCAATCTTAAATTGATCTGCGCAGGCCTCATGCTTTGAGTTTATCATAGACTCATAGGCTAAATTGCTACTTTCACTTTTGAGTTGCATAAATTTACTGTGGCATCTTGAAAAATCTTCTGCGTGTTGAGTGGCGTAGTATGCGGAGGGATCGTTTAGACTCATGAGTTTTGGTTTGTTCCAACTGAAGTATTGAAAAGGGCTGATAGCCTGCTTTAACGTGAATGTCTTTGGGTCTTCGTTACTGAAATATTGAATAGATGCCCCTTGGTTTGCAGGATAGACAACATTGTAGGTATAAATAACTTGATTGTCCCAAAACTCGACGAGTGATATAAGAAAGAAAAGCCTGTATACCATGGTTAATACTTGTGATAATATAATTAGTAAGCGTTATTTATGAGGCTATCTGTTTGCTGGATTAGCCTCAGTTTTCCGAGCCATTAGATTAGATTACCGAATGACACAGGAGATAACCAAATTTGATGATTCGAGCTTAGATCAACGTTAACCTGAGGTAAAGACGAACCCTAAAATAACTAGAATGAAAGTCTTGCTACAGTTTTCGTAACGGACGATGTACGATGTACGACGTTGAAGGCTTCAGGAAATGACTGAGTGGAGCAGATGGCTGACATTTACAGGCACGATGCTACTTGTTATAAGTTTACAATAAATTGCATAAGGCGCAAGGAGTGGTAGGGTTTGTATGCATCCTAGATTTACTCTTAATACCTCTACTCATGTCATGGAAGGATCATTTTCTTATATCCATTATTAATTGAAAGACGGTTTCATTAAAGTTCATTGAAGACCTGTACCCGTTACACCCGTGCAGTTGCGCTGAATTGGGTGATGACTTGACCAACTACAAGATATCAAGTACAGCATCCACGTAGTCCAACACACTACAACCTGATTGCGATATTTGTGTTCGCTGGTGTCGGCAGTTCCTCTTCCCAGCAGACGGTGCCAAGCCCAGAAAGCTTAAGCGCGCGGAGAGTCAGGTCAAGTAATCGGCCACTGTCACTCGAAATTAGGACTTCTCAAATACCAATCAGCGGGACAAATTTAGTAACCGGAAAGAAATCATTCTGCGACCGGGACTTGCATCACAGAGGAAATGGAAAAGGGCATCATGGACCCACCAAAGTAGCCGATATCTATTTTGGATTCAATCGAAAATTCGGCCGAATCATTGAGCTGACCATTCCTCTTCAGTTTCAGCCATTATGTAGATAAAGTTGACCACTAGGAACCGCATCATGATGACGGCGCGACTCATCTCGGTGTGCGTATGGAGAACAATTCGTTCTCAAAGTACAGGGTAAAATGGGCATGACACTCGTCAAATCAAAATTCGATTAAAGGGAAGACAGAGAGGGGATTACTGTCAGCATTGTGCCCGATGAGCCATCAAACGTCACCATCGACGACAGAGACGAACGTGGGTCAATTATCAAGCTGTAGAGCCTCCGCTGACGATGGAGGCAAAGATATCTCGATCGCATACTCGCCGAAAGGAATTCAGTAATACTGACTTGTTACACCTACTTTTTCAGTGAGAGCCGTTATTAAATCTAAACTTAACCACGAAATTCTCCTCTTCATCTAATTTACATCCAGTAAAGAGCCATGATCAGATATCTTCATCTTCATCGGTAGGGAAGGGTCAATGATCTTCAACAAAGTTAGGAGTGCAGAGACTCTTCTCTTTCGTCTACTCGAGTATGAAATGCTTGACTTAATCTTCTGTTTCAATACCTCAGAAGGATACCCTCAATTCTAAATTAAGTTCAGATGTAAGTAATGGGAGAATGCTTTTTCACGACGTGATCACGGGGCGCCTGAGGGAAATCAAGAATAGGTATAAACAGTTAATGATGTGCGAGTAACTGCCTTTGGAGCTTGACAAAGTCGTAACGAGGTGTTATTGTTCTGTGGTTTGGAATAGTGCCTCAGGCCCCCAGAGCAGTAAGCTCTGGCGTCCTTTTCTGTCGAACAGATTACCCTAAATTTACATACAGTATCACGATGTTTAAGTTGAGTAGTTTACAAGCGATTATACGAGGCTGATGCATCGAAGGCAATAATTTCTTCATGCAAATGTTACAACTAGCGACCAGACGGATGGCCAATTTCCTACGCACAACTCCATTCTTATTTTATTCCTTCTGTTGCCCGTGATAATGTCAGAGCCAATTTTAGAACCATGTTTGGAACGGAGATTTGAGAAGTTCGCGTGGAAAATCTAAGAGTCGGTCTATCTCTGGAATTAGTAGAATACTCTCAAGATGTGTATAGTACCTAGAAAGATTTCTCGTGGAGGGCCATCAGTTCAATGAACTCTGAGAGAGATTCAAACAAGTATAGCTTTGCCCAGAACTTTCAAACTCGGGACCAGAGTTTGATAATCGTTACCTAGACGTCACATAATAAACAAACCAGATTAAGAAGCCGTTGAGGTTGCAGTAAACCTAGTACAGGCGAAACGGATAGCCTCAAAAACTTGCCATACCAGATCCTGCAGCTTGGAGAGCAGCCAAGCTCTAAGATAAGAAGATAAGAATTTTTATTATAGTCCCTTCTGAGTCAAAGACTATCAAGGACTTCCAGAATCTACCAACTAAATTCTGGCTACTATTTCAATTTTAAAATGAGGTTATTTAATGTTTTCCAATAAATGTTGAGGGTCATGCCCTGTAGCCAAGTTCTATCAATGCTGACATTCTGGACGTCACCGAACAAACTTCCAACAATTTCCATTTTCCCTCCATAAAACCGGAGAGGAGCCCAAAGTAGCCTCGCAATCCAAATCTGAAGCGAACACATCCGGCTCCATTCCCATTTGCACAGAAAAGTACCCGGAGTCTACCAAGCACAAACTCCAAGCACGTGATCATTTCCTGCCCCAAGTTGTCAAATGGTAGAGGAGAGATCTGGGTGAGAGACAGAATATACCCCTTCGAAACCATGATAAACAATCCTGGTCGCATGAAAAGGACCACGCAATGGATTCACAGCAATGATTGGATAGGATAATTCCGCATGACAAATGCAGTCGAAATGCTGCTTAGGGGACGAGGCAGGGCCGGTGCAAGATTGGCGTCGATGCAGAGGACGTGATTGTTACACATGGACGGCATTACAGGGTAATTGTTACGGCGAGCTCCCCCGAGGGTAGAACTCGTCGTCTTCAAAGTTGACAAGGGAGGAGGTTCACGGTGGAGGTTGGAAATCTTACGAGGAAGTAGAATTTGGTAATGAGTGTGGCAACAAGATAGCTAAGAAGACTATTGTGTGAAAATTGGCGTTGGTAGAGTAGCTATGGGGAAATTTACGGATATTAGTCACGTGGTATTAGTGCGGCGTTGGGGTTTACTTCCGTTCATCATTCAAGATACATAGAGATATAGATATAAGTTTTGATCAATAACCATTTTGCCCAATCTTTGTGCTAGCACATTAACTAGAACCGGCGATAAACCGACAACTCTAATCGAGACAAAGGAAATAATACAAATGGCGAAGCTGGAGATCCGGTTAAGCCATCTCTGTTATGAATTTGTTAGATTTAATCTGGATGTGGTGATGCAGGAGTTACTTTCTTCATTCGGTTAGGTCTGAGGCAACGGGGTTTAGAATTGTTCAGGCTGGAAATTTGAAATAGTTCTTTAGTTCTAACAACTTTTTTGTTTCTTGGATAATTTACTTATTGGGAACTCGATATTTTGATAATATGATAATCTGAACATATGAATTCGTAACCTATGATAATTCGAGCCTCGATTACCTTGATTCGCACCTTCGCACCTTCGTAGCCTCGAACCTTTGATAATTCGTCTTCGTCGAAATCGACTCGACCTCTGCAGCTTAACAGCTTCGAAAATCTGCCAATAAGTAGATTCATAACACTCTTCTGCTTCTTATAATCAGAAGAGTCCCTCAGTGCCATCTCCGGCTCGTCCTTGAGCTGTCTAACGCAAGAGGATAACTGAATTAGATTTTTTTGATTTTGTTTTCATTTAGCCCGATTTGGCGCCCTATGGGCCCATGCAGGTGTCTACGAACTCTAATATTCATGTAGGAGGAAATACTGCAGTCAATCCCCCTTAGCTGTCTGATTGGACTCTACGCCATCATATTCTTACCTCTAGGAAGTGCACTCACACTGTTGTTGCCAGTGTCGATTCCGTCCTTGTTCTGTGTTTCCATTTTTCTCTCTTCGCCTGATTAACGCCTTGATTTCTCCGATAGTTGTAAAATATCAAGTCTTCTTAACTTCATCATCCTACATCCATGTAATATCGCACACAGCACATCTTCCAACACTTTTCCCAATCTTTTTAATATATGCTAGGTGGCTTGCAATGCCTGTTCTAGCCTGAATATAAGCCGACTGGAATATTAGACCGAGGTTGGCCATGTTGAATGGTTTGAATTTGACGTTGGGAATGTGGCATTTAGCCTGAGATTTACATGGTTTGTCTCGTACTATAGCTCTTCTCACACCTTCTTCTCGTTGTAGTTGGGATGTCCAGTCTTTAAACCGGGCATCCCTCATGAATCATTAAATCTCTTGTCTGAGGAAGCTTATTTTTATATAAATTCCTTTTAATTGGGGTTCATTTGCAGCTCTTCTTACTAAAGAGTCTACTAACTTATTTGATATTTGTTTTCTATGCACCCCTGTCTATACCCAGCGGGAAGCACCAGTTTCAACGGAAGATAACAATAAGGCGTGATAACAAGCGTTTTAATCGCTTAGATGTTGCGTTGCATGCACGAGAAGTCTTAATGTAAAAATCACCAACTAATCCTCTTTTGTCATGTAGAGACATAACACATTCATTAGTTGATATTATTCAAACGATCATGACTAGATTTTAATGTCATGTATGGATATGATTCATCGATTTTATTTATTGTATCAACCATGACTATGTCTCAGTGATGGGAGAATATCACTGTCTACTTACTAGAAACCTAGTCAAGATCTTAAACACGCAACTGAGATAAGGAGAAATTTACAGGATAATAAGTTACTCTGATGAACCTAGATCTGGAGGAACACAATCTGGTTGCTTAGCTCGAGGTGTGTGAGCCTGAGCATATCATGTTTGATAAAACATATGGAAATCTATCTCAATCACAATCATCATCTTAATTCAAGTCACCATCAATAGTTGCAAAGGGCAGTTTTGAAGTTTCCTTACATCTTTCGACGTACTGAAGCCCAAACTTTCTATCTGGAGAAATCGGAACCTCATATAGCATCTTTAATTCCATCTTATAATTTCGAGCCGTGTTAACAGAGCTTATCACGCGGAATGATGAACACTCGAATACTATTCATCGGATGAACTTCCCTGCGTCGTTCAACCAAAAAAATACATCATAATATTTCGGCGCTTTCTTACAAGGGGCCAAGTGTGTCATTAGATGGAGTAATATGCCTTCAAGTAGAATAGAAAATAATTAATCGTCAATTCGAAGTAAATTTCTGCACAAACTGACCCCTTCATCACTCGAACTGGCATACAAATCTATGAGAGCTGATCCTAGGTTTTCTGGCTTTTTGGGAAATTTAAACGCTGAGTACGTGACTAAAAATTGATAGATGTCAGTATGTTGTTGGACCCCAGGTTTCGGGAACATGATGTGTTTTTTTCTTGACTGTTGCAAAATGATCATAAGTTTCCCGGCAACAGTAACAAGGTAGGCTTTCCTGTCTTGCCTTTCCAAAGTGAAAATGGGTTCAAATTCATCGATGATCGATTGTGCCGGAACGCTTCTATCCCCAATAATGCAGAGTTCATGCGATGCAGCTTTACAATCTCTTTCTGATTTCCCAATTCTGAGCTGTTTGGACTGAATAAGCTCTATGAGTAATTTCACATTGCAATGTGATAAATGTCCATCTATGATATTAGAGATAGTTGGAACGAAATATTGACTTATACTCGCTAACTGTTGCCTACAATCTCGATAGTTGAAGCTATTTTTGTACTCATGATCTAATCCCTTACTTTCTTCAATGTAATTTTGAGTAAAATCTCGGTATGATTTAAGGAATGCTTGTTGGTTTTTTATGGTATGGTAATCCGGTGGTTTGATAAAATTCCGGGATCCTGATCGAGATAACTGGAAGTTTATATCGATAAATCTAGAAATCCGACTCGTATATTCGATGGGTGGTAGACTGCTGAAGTATTGGATATCTGACCCTATTTGATGATGATATACAGTATTGTAATTGTAAATCTCTTCGTTGTTCCATATCCCAGCCGATGATATAAGAATGAAAAATGGAGGTCCTAACATGAGCAAAGCTTGTGGCTATTTTGACTGAGTGTTTTTTATGGGACCAACTATTGGGATGAGCCTCTATTTCGCGAACCTTGAATGTGAATTACCAAATAGATTGTGCGAATAATAGCTGAAATAATTTAGCTATGAAATAAAGGTGATGTAGCAAATAAGGTCTCGTTGAAGCTTTCGCAACGGATTTCGCATGGCGCTGAAGATTTCAAGAAATGACAAAATGGAGATGAAATTCTTAACATGCGAAGAGATGGTGCTACTAGTTGTAAAGTATCAATATGATGTGTGAGATACTAGGTGTGCGAGGATCTGCAGAAATCCCAAGTCACCTAGTAATATCTCGACTCGAGTCACAGAAGGTTCATTTCCCATATCCACAGTTTACAGAAGGACAGTTCTATTAACATAAATTCATAATAAGTCAACATTACAACCGAGTCACTCCGAAGAAGTGAAAAAAGACAGTGTGGACCCGTTAAAGTAGCCAACGTAAACTTTGAATTAAATTCAGCATTGCGCAGGATAAATGACCAAAATATTGAACTCCAATTTTGGCCGTCTATTTAGATCGTGGTCACCACACGAAGCCACATACTCGTCACGGCGCAATTCAGCTCGATGTGCGTACGGAGTTTAATCCGTCCCTAAACTATCAGGCAAAATACAGTAGAGCTTTTGTAGCCGATAATTCAAGAATATCTCGGTAGCTCAGCCGGCGAAATATTTTTATTGTAATTTGATTTCATTTCGCCCGGTCAGGTAACCTATGGGTCCATACAGGTATGTCTAGTCATGATATTTACACAGGAAGACACCAAATTCGGTAAAAAACCCCCAAACAATCTGTCTCGTATTTATTGGGTTTTCTGAGATTCCCTGTAGGAAGTGAGTTTATGCTGTTCATATATTGTGAACTCCATCCAAGCATTATCTACATCGTTTCATCGTTTCATCGTTTCGTCTATTGCAATGACTATTTTTCCTGCAAGCTGGAACTATTCGAACCAGCCTCCAACCAGGATCCATTTTGTGACTCTCTCCATATCATATAGGCTGTTAGTCATTGCTACAAAAGACCTATCTCTTGCCTATCGAAGCACTCCTCCTCCTCCCCTTGCCCACTGAGGACACACCTGATGAAGTTTTGAGCTTGAGCGAAGACGGAGGTGAGAGCGGAGTCAGTGTCAGCGGTCATACCGATACATTAAGGCTTGTTGAAGGCTATAGAAAGTAAGATTCGTGTGAAGACAATTGTATTGAATTCGAATTTAAAATCTTTAACGTGACATGATGGACCAAGTACCTATTCAGACATGACGCGGGTAGATGGGTTCTGAGAACTCATAGCTACCTATGAGGTTCCGAGCGCGCGTTGTATACCTACTATACAATGGGTGTGGGTGTATGATTGGGGTGATATCACGTGGTGTCTCGTGGCTCCTAACTACAACGGATCTTGTGTAGAGCTTGAGACTAATACGTGAATTCTATATCCTACAAGTGTAGGATATTTCTACGCCTAAATACATCAATCCCTTCTTACCCCTCAGTGCCGAAGTGTTCTATCATTATGATTATGTAATATTATTGTGCGACTTCCCATAACCCTGTAAGTCTTTTCCGGATCCACACCTATCTGACCGGCATGAAAGCCAGAAGCGATAAAAAAAGGAAAAAAGTGCCCTACGCCGCATCCCTGAGGTTCCTGATGGATTAGTTTGTGTGAAAAGTGAGATAGGCTTAGCTTTATGATGGCGTAGGTTACGGGTGTCTCGCGGCTCCAAATTACCAATATGTGTAGTAGAGCTCAAGACTAGATGTAACTTGATTCTATATTGATACAGGGCATCGTCTATCTAACTACGGTATTCTTTATCTTGCGCCCGGACTTCAACGTGAACAACATTACATAAGCATTACAATTTATCAGAGCCTCGTGCTAATCTAGGGGTCTGTCAATCTTGGATCCTCGAATATATCTTCGAAGCACATCCCCTTCCGACTGGGAATCCGTCTTAGCGTGTTCACCTCCCACCCTGTTCATTCTTTGGCAGACTGTAACATCTGCTTGTATTTAGGAATTGGATGAACTTCTGCGATCCTTTTTCCCCTATCATTGTGGAGGGACTTCACATTTGTTGTTCACAATTGTGGGTCCAAAAATGAATTTATATTTTATCTAAGGAGGAGAATATCTACGACGCGCGCGCAAGATGTTTTGTTCCAATCGAGCGCGTTTTCCCGTGACACTAGCGCGCTTTTGTTCATAGATATTGTAATAACGAGGTTATGATAAGTCTAAGAATTGTCACAATGGGTGTAACAGTCAACTTGGGTGGATGTAAGATAGCACTTTAAGTCTAACGTGAAGAAGACAGATATATATTGTAGATCTGCTATATTGATGACTATTGAATATAAGAGAGGAAAAGGTTGATCATATACAGAGGTCTAGCAGTGAGTATTTATACACAAAGACAATATACACAATATACCATCAATAGCAGTAACTGCCAACCATTCAGACATTCAACAACTATGTCATTAGATATACCTGCGTCATATTATCATATAATCATGTATGGTTGAGATATTGGTGTTGTCATTGCTGTGTGCCGATGACGTATCATTGACGCAGGGTCGCTTGTCTTGTTGGTTCACTTGCCCAATACTAGCCATTCCAAGTTGTGTGATCTATAAGTGGGTCTGGTCACAACAATAGACGGAGCCAGATAGTTACGGGTCCACATACAAGGCTACAGCCTGTAACAATCATTTCCTTGGCCCCAGGTGGGGCTATTTTTCCATAGCTTCTCCAACGTTGCAAAGCAGGTCGACACTCCGAAAATGTCAGGGTAATTGAGCAAAGCGGCTCAGGCAAAATAACCAATGCGGAGGTCTACGACGTGGAGGCTCATGGAGCTCTAGCTGCTCTTGAAGCAATCACTAGCAGGAAGCGAGATCGTGGTCGTAGCGCCATCTATATTCTGCTCGACAATTCTGCGGCTGTCCAGGCCTTACTAACGGGAACAACAGGCTCATCATCCTGGAGGATTCAAAAGTTCTGCAAAATGGTCGCTAGAGCAGCAGCACCTGTTAAAGTAGGATGGATTCCGGACCACGAAGGGCTGGTAGGAAATGAAATGGCTGATGAGCTCGCTCGAAGAGAGCTTAACTCATCGGACGATACGAGGACGACACATGGGGTGATGACCCTCGCCTTTTCCGGAAGGAAAGCTCGCGAACTAGCCAGGCAGATGGTTACAGACTGGTGGCATTCGAATCGCCCCAGACATTATGCCGACCTCGAACTCGAGATGCGACGCAAGAAACCGCCAGAACTAGCACTACCAAGGGCAGTCTACGTTCGCTTAATAGCCGCTCGAACCGGACATGGAGACTTCGCCGCTTATCATCGCCGCTTCAACCACACTGACGCTACACTTCACTGCGAGTGTGGGAGGGAAAAATCAATCGGTCACCTTGTTCAGTGTCGAAAAGCACTGGCAACATGGCGGCTGAAAAGCGGAAAGCGAAGGGCGCCAGCTACAGAAACAATGCTTTGATCAAGCGGGTGGCAACTCTTCAGGGACTACGTCCAGGAGAGCGGAATATACGCGGAGGCTAGCCGGAGGATGGCAGGGATACCTGTGACTCGGAGGTGATGAACGAAAGCCTAGGTGATCTGGCATGGAAGTAGGAATAGGAATCGAGGCTCGGGCGCGTGGTGGCCGAGGCGGAACGATGGAAGGGAGATTGTCAAAGTTTTTCTTTTGTAATGGAGGATTTTGCGTGGAAGTTTTCTTTTGTTTTGTTTTCAACTCTGGGCTGCTGTACTCGTCATGCTTCAACACATAGATGCGTTTCGGCATGGTTCCGGTCATTGAGGTGGGATGAGGCACTTGTACTTTACGGTGGTTAACCTGATCCGGCCCGACCCCACTCGTGCTCAAGCTCCAGTAGGAGTGCGACGGTAGTCACTTCACCTAGCACGTTAATGAACAAAAAACGCACAATTCGAGAAATTCGAAAATTCCCTATGTCCCTTTTCCCTTCTCATGATTATTCCTGTGCTTGAGTTCTTGAATTGATGACCATAGAAAGGCGTCCCAAAATGCCTCCGATGAAGAGCAAACGACCAAAGTCGACCATTTCTGTCGGCTTTGAACGGACACACATGTGACCAGAACCTCCTGGCCTCGCGCAAAAATTATCAAGCTTGTTTGCGAGTGAGGCCTTTGTCCCAGGGAAGTCTTCCACCCTTCCCGACCAAGAGATGACTGATTCTGATCCGATCAGAACAGAAACGAACAGTCAACAGACCGCGAAACCCGCCGAGCTGGTCCTCGAGGCAAGCAGCTCCAGGAAAGGAAAGGAGGTCGTCAGAGAAAGGACGACCGAACGTGCAGAATCGTCTGCCGGAAAAAATGCTGTGCCAGCCTCAAAAGGCGCAGCATCGACATCAGCTATGGAGTTTCCTCCGGAGCTGCAAACCGTGATGGAGGCCGAAAAGCGACGTACGACGCAAATTACGGCCCGCCTCGCCATCTGCTCGACTGCGATAAACAGTGTTGAAGCAGCACTTTCGCCTCTTTCGATCGGCGAAAATAAAGAATTCGTAGACGGTATAAAAGTCTACCTACGAGCAGCTATTGGCCAGTTCGTTCAATCCGGTCCAGGAAGCACACCACCAGTCCTTCCTGCCCGCCCCGCAAACCCTCTCTGACCAAGGGCTCCAGAAATTAGGGCACCTAACTCTACGAAAACCCAGGCTCCGTCCCCAAAGACGACTTGGGCCATCGTAGCTCGGGCAGGCTTAGTCAGCAGCGCTGTGAAATCGACAAAAGCGGCAGCACCGCCCGCCCAGAAAGCAAAGAGTGCCAACTCGAGTGGAAAAGCCGATTCACGACTTTTTCTGCGCCTTGACTATTTCCATCCCCACTGTCTCCTTTCTCCAGCTGGAGTAAGGCTAGCGGTGTCTCAGGCGCTGGGAACCGCTGCCAACAATATCAATTTGGTTCAGCGGGTAAAGACCGGCTTTGCAATAACCGCAAAGGATGAACTCGCTCGAACAGAGCTCCTAGATTCCTCCACATCACGGAGCGAATCTGGAATCAAACTGGAACCAGCATCAAATCTGGTTGCCATGCAAATTGCCACCGTCCCGGAGACAATTCGAACTCTTGCTGGCCCAATTGCCGTGACAGCAAAGATGGTTGCCGACGAAGTCACGCGAGTGACCCAGTTGGTTCCCTTTCTGGTTCGTCCTCATGGGACTAGCAAACCAGGGGCGCCCTACTCAAATTGGCAAGCACTCTTTCCCCGAGAATCCGCTCCTCGACCTGGATTCCGCCTTTTCGACGACTCTGAAGCTGCAAAGCTCTTCCGACCTCGTCGCAAAATCGAACAATGCAAACGTTGTCTTGAATTTCACGCCACCCGTGGCTGTTCCCGCGCTCCAGCTTGCTGGAATTGCGGATCTAATATGCACTCAGAATCAGAGTGCAAGGCCCTCACCCGGTGTCGAAACTGTGGGGGACCTCACCGATCGGATTTCCGGGCCTGCTTAGCCAGACCCAGCAAGTCCGGACCGGTGACAAAAGAGCAGCTCGCGCGGATCCGCCAGATCCAGCAAGGGGAGTTCGCGAAAGTGGCTCGATTTAGGGCTGCAGCCAAAAGGGCCGAAGAGGCAACGATGGCCTCAACGAAGGATGTCTCGATGGCCGAGGGATCCGGTTTCAGAATCCTGGGATCCGAAGAAGAAGTTTGAGGGTACAGCAACCCTCGGTGAAGTCTACAAAAAGCTTCAGTATATATGGCAGGATACCAGCTGAATTCAGGGTATCTGCGAACTAGTCTTTCGCTCTCAGCGGAGATAAGAAAAAGTCACGTGGAAGATGTGGCAGGAAAGGGAGCGGGCGAGAAGCGCGGGATCCGGACCAAACAGTATTTCTTCCAAATTTGATTTCAGTTTTGCTGTTAACTTCTACAATTTCAGTAGAAGTTCATGCGGTTGGAATGAGTTGGGCCTGTACGCAGTGATCCTTGCCGGCTCCACCGGTCCTTGACCCAATGTGGAAAAGATAGCTTTAGCTTAGGACCAAAAGTAAAAAAAAAAAAAACAAACTCTGAAAATGCTGAGGACGAAGGCTGAACACCTGTCAGTGATGTCCTCTACGAACCTGGGAGTGAAATATTCTCTCAGAGCCGAGATTCAGCCACGACGAAGGATGAATTTTAGAGTTTTCGTCGAGTTGGCGATCGGGAGGAGTGGTGTTGGCTCATTTTTGGCCGAAGATCCGACCTGCAGAGATTTCACGACTGCACAACTCAACGAAATTAACCCTCTACACCCCAGATACGAACCGCAGACAGCCTCTAACCTGTCTGATGTTCGTATTACAAAAACCGATACCTTAAACATCTTATTTTTTTTTCTCTGGAAAATCGCTCCCAGCCAAACTCATCTCGCGGCCCTCTCCATAATCATCTCACCACCTACCTAATCAATCCCATACATCCAAAAGTCAAATCGCCAACAAAGGAGCAAGAGGATTTCCGACCCTCCGCAACTGCTAGTCGCCGTGAAGGTACGGTCGAAATACCGTTCTTAAATGCGTACTCACCTCGGCCAAGGGCACCAACAACTCGACCTACGACGAATCGCCACCGACGAAATACGTACGACATTTCGCCGGCACACCAACCAGAGCGTTCGACAAAGGCTGGAGGAGTGGACATTCTACAGAGTTTCTGGGATGACAAGATCGGCTGAAGGATAGAGGGATGCGGTATGAAGGAACTAAAAGTGGATGCAAACTGAGGAGGCCTTGATGGGCGACTGGATGAGGCCTCCAATGAAGAAATCGACCCTGCATGAGATGAGGAGATGCTCAGATGAGCCAAAGCTGGGGCTGAATTGAGGAAAAAGTTATAGATGGCGAAGGTGTCAAGGGCTCGGGCGCGTGGTGGCCGAGGCTGAGGAGGAATTTGCGCTTCGGCGCGCCAAAAGGGGGTTCTCTGGACGGTTGGGCTTGACATGATTCAATAAATGGGTGAAGTCTGAGGTAGACCGGTCATTCGGGCGGGACGAGGTAGATGTACTTAATGGTAGTTAACCTGATCCAGCCTAGCCCCACCCGTGCTTAAGCTCCAGTAGGAGTGCGACGGGAATCACTCTACCTAGCTCGCAAATGAACAAGACAAGACTCTGAAAATGCTCGGGCTTTTTCTCTCGGCTGCAAACGCACTTCATATCTTTGTGTTCGCAATTGAAACGCCAGTGGTAGTCGGCATAGTCCCCGTGGCCTGTCCTTGCCGCAATTAGACGGTAGTACGCCTATCTTGGTAGAGCCAGTTCCGGTGGCTGTTTGCAGCGTATGTAGAGGTCTAGGTCTTTGTATCATTCCGGCCGAAACTTCTGCCACCACTCAATTGAGTTGAGATGTATTATTATTTAATTTTATGTTCTGTCTGAGTCTATGGCTGTGAGGGAAATACTCTATCATACCATTTTAAGCCGCAAAATTCCTTCTTTCCACATCACTACTTATGTTTGTATCTGTCACGCTAACTGGTATTTTATCTAGTTTTGTTGGTAAAACACGAATTAGTATAATTTGGGTGCCGTCACGAAGTCGGAGAATAAAGTGAATGAACTGGTATCCCGAAATACGTAAAACGTTGCCTCCCCTTTCTTCCTCTACTCCAAGCGCCTCGCCAATGAGCTAAGTCAGATCCCTGTCAGTGTCTTAACGACAACCTGAATATCGCTATAACACAGAAAAATTATACTGTCCAAACATGATCCTTTTACCGACAAGTTTGAATGTCGAAGGACAGTGTCTGATTGCATATTGTGACTCTCCAAGTGCTTGAGCTTTCTGAGCTGGGAACCATCTGCTAGGAATGGTAACTGTCAACACCAGCAAACACAAACATCGCAAACAGAATGTAGTGCGTTGGACCTCGTCGACGCTAACGGCGCCTACCCATCGTTGCTCTGCTCGAAATCTTATAGTTCCTCAAATCACAACCTAACTCAGCGCAGCTGCATAGGTGTAATGGGTACAAGATTTCAACAAATTTTAATGAAGCCGTCTTTCAATTAATAGTGGATATCAGAAAATGATCCTTCCGTGACACGAGTAAAGCTACAGCTAGGAAGTTTATGCATCCTGAAAACCCACCATCCTTTCGCCTGTGAATATTAATCTGAACTCAATTTTGCTGTGAAACCTTTAATGCTGTACAAAGTCTGTTGCAAAACCCTGCAAAACCCCTTCTCAAGCTACACCATTGTTTTTTGCTGCTCACTATCGCCGTTACTTCAAAGCTCAATCATAAAAGGGGTTTGCCCAATCTTTTAGGTGATATTTTCAGGGATGTGGGAGATATAGACTAATCTCTTTGACAGTTAGTTTCACAAACAACATTTTACCGGGTATAGTAATCACAAGCACTGGTGATGGTACGCCCTCCCTTTATCCTCCTAGTATCATCAGCCGGTATATGGAATCACAAAAGTATTTACAATTACAACACTGTTTATCGTAATGATGTAGGGTCACCTATCCAATTCTACAGCTACCAACCACCCCACGTATATCTGTCCCAATTTGGCGGCAGTACCACTGGAAACCTCCAGTCTTCCCAATCAGGACCCTTGAGTTTAATAAAACCATCAGGATACCATGTACACAACTCACAGAAAGCCTTTCTACAATTATACCATGCCTTTACTCGTAAGCTAGCTGAAGAGAGCAAGCAATTAAATATGGAATTTAAAATGAACTTCAACCATCAGGCTTGTGCAGACCAAATAGTGCAGATGAACAAAAGTGGCATCATAAGCATCTCAAATATCATCGATGGATTCTTATCACACTGCAAAGCAAATCTCCTCATAGAGCTTATTCAATCCAAAAGAGTTAGGGTTAGAAAATTGGAAAGCGAGTGTAGGAACGAATCGCCGAATCTGTGCATAGTAGGAGATAGAAGTGTTCCAGCACAATCGATCATGGATGAATCTCAGCCCCTTTTGACTTCAAAAAGATATGGTAGGAACGCTTACCTTGTCACCGTTGCCGGGAAACTCAAGGTTATTTTACAAGTATTAGGGGAAAAATATATCATAATTCCAAAACTTGGTGGTCCGCCAGACGACGATATTTTTGAGTTTTTGAATTTGAAACACGAAAATCGTATTTCTGCAGACGTAAAGAATCTGGAATCTGCTGCTATAGATTTATATGCCAGTCAGACGGATGAAGGATCTAGTATATACAGAAACTTCCTCGATGTAACAAACTAATCTCTCTCTATTCAACATTTGATGCGCACTCCTCTATCCGATGATACTTGTGGTCTCTAGAAATAAGGAATCGAACTGTCTCGATACATCATTTGGTCGAATGGGTTAGGGAAGCTTATCGGATAAGCAGCATCGGGGTCTCTATAATTTCTTGTACCATTTTCAGTTATCACAATACGAAACTATGAGACAAGAACAAAGATATTAACTAATGTACGAGTGCCATGCAAAAAAATGACCATCCAACTTTTCTGAGTTGACAACTTGACCATATTTACAGAGATAGCAGCTGATAATCACATAGGTTCAGTCAGGACGTTTTTGAAAAGAAGTTCTTGTGCCTTACCCTAAGCTATCTCTCACTTATTTACATATACCGAGTTTCCCTAGCTCCGTTTTGACATTTTACCCTCAGCCTAGACTACTTGATTTTTGAATGCTTTGACAATTTGGACCCCACGTTAGGAACCGAGGACAGCAAATTACTTTCATCGGAGTTCCCGGAGCTGGCTTGGTCTCCGGTTAATTCCATCTTCTGTTGTGCTGGCTTGGTTGAGTTGTTAGGAGACAGGGGAAAGGAGGATGGGCTGCTGTATTAGGAAGGGGTGGAAAATACAGGCTGATGCACAGATATTATTCATATACTATGCAATATCTTCACCTGCTTAGTTTATTGAGGTAACTATCCAAATAATGTCATTCTTCACATCATCCATTGGATGATATTATCAATTGTTGGGATGCGCATCTAGTATCACCTTCGTAGATCACCATTGTCAGTAAAAGTTCACATTTGATACCTACTGACACCAATTGGCTTCAGTGATACGCACTCAGTGTCCATCGTGCCATCACCCAGCGTGAGCCCGCCATCTCCGCGACTCACCTTAGCACGTGAGCCCGTGCCACTCCATCAACGGTCAGCAGAGTTATAATTGCCATGCACCTCTCAGCTCACAACCGCAAAATCTTCCAGGCTTTCCAACGAGTCTTAAACATAATTCAGGTGAATAACACCTAACAAATTCATTATCATAAACCCCAAATAGAAGTAAATCCTGATCAACACTAGTCCTCCCGTGATATATGATTTGGTAAGCACATGCTCTTCGATATATAAATCTCATATTGAAGATTTGAAATCTCGCCCCTTTGGAGTTTATATCTATCCATGGCGCGTTTTTCCCTCTCATCCTAATGTCTCTCACGCGCATCCCAAAAATGTGTCCCCTTAGGTTCATGTGCTGTATTTATATCTGCATGCGGCTATTCTCATCTTCGTGGAATGTGTTTGGTCAGATGAGGATAGGATCTAAGTTGACAAGGAATTATCACAGGATTGAGTACGTCCAAGATCGCGCTTGGTGTCTGTTAAAAATTACCATGGTTGAGGTGGTTGTGGTGAGAGAGGGCGATACGTGCAGCTACAATATAGTGGCATGACCCTAATCAGACTGGCAAGATATTCTGTTAAATTTCCCTTTTGCCTCAGGTATGTACCAAGAACATATAGTATATAGATTAATTGTTGTATATGTGTGACGTGATGTCTTATTGTGCTTCTTGAGTCATAGGGTATCTAGCATATTGGGCTCCTTTCTGACCCAGGACACAACCTGTACAGTGCTCCTTGCCTCTCATGTTTCTTGAAAGATCATTGATATATTGCCCGTGATGAATTGCCATTCAGCTCAGTGCTTACCCGTGGGATTTGGCCAGCTTTTCCGCGGAACCTTCTACCCAAAAAAAATAAAAATCGTAGCAATGGAAACTGCGTGCGTGGGAAAAAGTCTCAAAAAACCTGCAGTCCCAGCCAGGCGAAGCCTAGACACCGGAACCACATGAAGTGCACATATTCATCTATATCTCCCATCTTTGTAACGGTCGAGGTCGACTTGATCCAATCCACCATCTCCGTATCGGGTGCTGGGTACGCTCCGGAAACTCATCGGATGGCTTTTCCTCCATGATCAAGGGTGGGTGACGAGTAGGGCTCCGACCCTACCATCTAGTCTGATCGAGGTTAGCTTCATGATAATGGTGATAGGGGAATATGTTGAGGGATGAAGACGATACAGACGGCGAAAGCGATTGGGAATCCTTATCGAAGTGAGGACTTTGTTACTCAATCTTGGCTCTGTAGACTCTATAGTGAGAGTTGGAGGTTCGTAGGGGACACCACTGACAGATGTTGAGAATAGTCCCCCTTCACGATCAAGTCCGGGCGTAAGATAAAGAATACAGTATTTAAATAGACGATGCCCTGTATTAATAGAAAATTAAATTACATCTAGCCTTAAGCTCTACTACACATATTGGTAGTTTGGAGCCGCGAGACACCCGTAACCTACGCCATCACAAAGCTAAGCCTACCTCACTTTCACACATACTAATCCATCAGGAACCTCGTATTGGCCAGCCACCCATTATCTTCAATAATCCCTTTCAAAAGAGACGGGGAGCAGCATTGGCTTCGTGGTCTACCTGCCAAACACTAGGATATGAAATGTTACTCCTGTCACCTAGGAGACACTATGGGTGTCAGAGGCGCCGAGACTCACTGCAAATTGAGAGCAATACAATATGTGAAGAGATATTTCGCTTACGAGACCTTACCTATATTCACTGATAGCCAGGCTAGCATCCTTCGAGTCCAGCACAGCGCTGGCCAATTTTCCCACCAGGTCAGGATGGCATTCCAAAGGTGCACTTTTCGTCTTCAATAGTATCCAACACATGTTGGAACATGCGGTAATGAGCTAGCCATAAATGGGAGTACAAGGTCAGTAATCAAAAGAGATGATTTTACAACTCATACATTCATTAAACAAAAAGCAAAGTAATCGGCACTGGAGGCATGGGATAATAAATGGAACCTGGAGATTTGGCATGAGGAGGAGGGCTAAAAAGCTAAAGGACTCGGCAAGTACTACAGGACCCAGGCCCAAACCAATCAACACAATATTTCTTTCAAACTTTTCAAATTTCAAGGTCATAACTGGGACATAGACTCAGGATTCTACCACACAAGGCTTCGTATCGTAAATTCACGTGTCTATTTGCACATGATGGGTGTCAGGCGCAGGTTCACTAGGCGCAAGACTCGAGGCGTAGGAGAGGGCGTAGCGTACGCTGTACTGAGGAAGGACGCCTCGTGGGAACGCGGAGGGCTTTCTAGAGAAGTGGTAAATGGGAGAGCGGGGAGTCGTTCTGGATAGAGGGGCCAGAGGTGACGGTAGGTCACTAGGGTTGGCAGAGGACGAGAGTGAGATGTAATTAAAACAATGTAACTATTCCTAAAGACAGAAAACAAAGCGTGAAGATTTCATTTTCGGAAATGAAAACTACATAAACATCCTCGCTAAGCAATAAAGACTAGTGGGGGAGGGCAAGACTGAACACCTGTACGCGGTGTCCTCTACGAACCTGGGAGTGAAATATTCCCCCAGAGCCAAGTTCAGTCAAACTTCGCAATACCGAACAAGTTGGCCCACGAGGCAATGATTCAAATTACTCCACCATGTCAATCTTTCATTCCCAAAGAGTCCGATTCTCGACTAAGCTTCATCAAATCTACAAGTACGACATAGTACATCCTCACCCAATGATCACACCTCTCGTCGACTTTCTCTGGCCTCAGCCGGTCACCAAATACACGCCCACGCCGATATTTATACCCGACGGAGGAAGCAAAGTGTGGCGCACAAATCTGGGAGATAGTTCTTTGGGATGGACGTGAGAGGGGTCAGGACAAGTTTACAAGATGATGCAAAAGAGGGATACATTCTCGACGGGCGTGAAATTTTGGATTTTGGCAAGAGTTTTACGAATCGAGCTTTGTGCAAGCCAAGTCTTCGGTTTCAAGAGTGCAGCTGACACTATATATACCGCTATGGTTGGATGGTGCGGTGGTACATCGTCTTGGCCGGTCTTCCAAGTAGTGTCTGGATAGCTTGGACACATATCCTACTCGAGAAAAGTAGATCGCTGGTTCAAACCCGGCAAAACACAACCACTTTTCTCGCGGCGCTGGTATGCATGGATGACGAAGGCATGCTTGGATAACCAAAGGTTTTGAAATGTCCCTTTGGTGGGTACTTACGGAGGAGGGTCGACTGTTTATGTAAGCGAACATACCTCATAGTGGTGTGTGTGTGTGTGTGTGTTTTATTGTACTACTTGAGTCTATGACTATCTAGCACATTGGGCTCCTCTCTGACCCAGGCCACACCTTGTACAGTGCTCCTATCCTCTTTTGTTACTTGAAAGATCATTGATATATTCCCCTTGATGAATAGCCATTCAGCTCAGTATTTACCCGTGGAATTCAGCCACCTTTTCCACGGAACCTTCTACCCAAAAAAAATAAAAATGGTAGCAATGGAAACTGCGTGCGCGGGAAAAAGTCTCAAAAAACCTGCAGCCCCAGCCAGGCGAGGCCTAGACACCGGGACCACATGAGGTGCGCATATTCATCTATATCTCCCTTCTTTGTAACATTCGAGGTCGACTTGATCCAATCCACCATCTCCGTATCGGGTGCTGGGTACGCTCGGGAAACTCATCGGATGGCTTTTCCTCCATGATCAAGGGTGGGTGACGAGTAGGGCTCCGACCCGACCATCTGATCTGATCGTGGTTAGCTTCATGATAGTGGTGATAGGGGAATGTGTTGAGAGATGAAGACGATACAGACCGCGAAAGCGATTGGGAATCCTCTTCGAAGTGAGGACTTTGTTACTCAATCTCGGCTCTGCAGACTCTACAGTGAGAGCTGGAGGTTCGTAGGGGACACCACTGACAGGTGTTGAGAATAGTCCCCCACCTCATAGTGGTATTTGCGAATGAAATCGAGAATATGAGTATCTCTAATGTCAAAAGAGCCGTCCCACAAGTAAACATAGCACTGGTCATGTGTCAGCTCTAAAGCTGAATACACATTAAATAATTAAAAGAAAAATAAGGAGTATGAAGTAGTGAGATCTCTTGATGACTAATTGCCCTCTCGAATTGGCTCAGTTCCGCACGATCACGCGACTTTTGCATAATTTCGCTGTGAATTCTTTCAAGTATGAATTGAAAAAGAGGCGAGGAGTCGTGTCATTTGCTTAGTCATGATAGTTAAATCACTTTGCAGCCTTCTACTCAGAGGACATAATCAACAAGTCTACACTACAATTTACAGATGTTTCATTTTCTCGTTCGCTTCACTAGGCTGCTTTGAACAGAAGCGTAATGGCTTCAGCTTCTCTAAAGAGCCCCTGCTCCGACCATAAGGCATTGGCCTGTAACAGCCACGATCAGGTGAGACAGTGGGGTCAAAACCCTTTTCATGGAGGAGTAGAAATCCAATGAATTCCAAAGCATAGCCAGCACTCGATACGGCGATGGCGGATCGGATCAAGTCAGCCTCTATTGCTACCAAGAAGGGAGATGCAGATGGATATGCGTACCCCGTATTACTCCGGTGTCTAGGCATGTGGGCTTATTTTAAGACTTTTTCCCGCGCACAAAGTTTCTATTGCTACCTTTTTTGTGCAGAAGGTTCCGTGGAAAAGGTGGCTGATTTCCACGGGTAAATACCGAGCTGAATGGCTATTCATCACGGGCAATATATTAATGATCTTTCAAGTAACATGAGAGGCAATGAGCACTGTATAAGATATGGCTTGGGTCAGAGAGGAGCCCAATATGCTAGATAGTCATAGATTCAAGTAGTACAATAAACTCACACACACAATGAGTGGAATGTGCGAGAAGCGGATATCAGCCAAGAACGAGTATTCTAGATATTTTCACAATTGTATAAATAGTTGAAGTAATGCTTCACTAATTGGCCATGGAGAAATTTATAACCTACCTTTGTACGTCCGATCGCTCCAGCATCTACACTCGAACCGTAACATGAATGAAGTCAGGGCACGGGGTATTTTGGCGTAGGCAATTTTCTCTATCTCTTCTTTCATCTACGTTCTCGGGCTAGAAAGCTGAACGGATAGCTATTAGTAAGTCTTTAGGGATCACACACCTGTATCGTACGTCGTGGGTGTAGGGCTTTTGCCAGATACGAAATTAATACATACAAACACCTGGTGATAACCATGCGGGTTAAAGCTTGTGACGGAAATTGTTGAATGACCTAATGACTTAATGTCAACCTAACCATGACCTGCATCCAAAGCGATGTGAAACCGACAAGAAAGTACATATAACCCTGCGGGCTAAGTGCGCCAAGATCTCACGTGAGACATACTGAGCTCTAAACGTTTTACCTGACGTTATCTGTGAAAATATCCTGTAACTGTTTGTACTCATGTAATCATGTACGAGTCGTATTCCTGTAACTATCTATATTCGTGTTATCTACGACTCGTAAACTTGTACTAGTATTAGTCGCTCCTGACAGTTGCTGTTTGCGATATTGGAACTAATCGTGTTATTACTTCATACTTAGGACTTTTTGATTCATTAAGCTTGCACAATAGTATGGGGAGATTATATTGTCTGTACGTGGGTGATCGGATGAAGGACGGATGGACTTGTATTTAAAGAGAGATGGAATACTTCATAAAAATCAATCAATCACATTTCTTCACTCTGAGATAAACTTGTTAGTCCCAATTTATCAACACTTAATGACCTTTCATGTATTATCTTATAAATGATGACCAATTATGTTGATGAATAATGAGTTACCTGTTTAGGAATGGCGTCAGGAGAGAGGGACAACTGCTGTATATACGTGTTTCATTTAGTTAGGATGGGGGAGAAGAGAGATTATATGTTAACCACCTATCGTTATTACTGCTATAGAAAGCTTGTGATATAATACCACTCGAGTATTCCGACAGAAATTTTATCTTAAAACTGGCAATATGGAGTCAATGGACAGGCTCTGTCTATTTGATGGTATCACAAATACATCAAGTAATCTTGTGCGATACTGCTAGCTTAGACAATGGCTGCAGTAAAACGAGGGGTAAAACAACTAATGATGAATTCACAAGTATGAGAGTGATATGGGACACGTCAGCTCTTTCCAGGGGGATCTAATTGATCATTACCGGTATAACTGTAGTTATCAAAAGTTTACAAAGTATCAGGGGGGTATCGGTGTTTATTTTTAATACCACTTTTAGTCTAACTTTATGTCTTAGATGATCAGCAGCACCATCATTCTATGAAACGTGCAGAAGACAAGCTTATTTACAAGAGAAGTCTGTATCTAGGAAATTTTTTTTTCCACAAGAAAGATGCCATGCTCGTCTCGCAATTCTTTGATGATCGGATCATTGATTTTGGATGACATGGGTGCAATTACTCCTTTGTCCGAAATGGTTCCATTCAGAACTTGTTTCGCCGCAACCCCACACGGAACGCCGACTAGCTTCGCCATAGCAGAATAGCCTGAAGGAGATCCATACTCCACAAGAGTAGATGTTCGAGTCTCCTTACTACCATCTTTATTTTCTATCTCGAATTTGTGTTGCAACATAACCATATCTCGCTCTCCTTCTTCATAGAGCATTTTCTGTTCCAAAGTTGAGCAGAGTATATCGAGCGGATTTCCTTTCGGGTTGATTAATTCATCTGAAAAAATGCCAATCCATTTTAATCCACTAATGATGCGTAGTTTGTCTTCTGTTGATTTGAATTTGGTGCTATTTTCAATGGCTCGCTCCAGATCCTGCTGGTTAGAGGAAGAAGTGCCCAAAATCTTTTGAGTTGCCTGCTTCCATGCAATGCGCTCCTTTAGAAACGGCTGCTCTGTGTCACTGAGAAATCCAATGTCGACTAGGACACGGATGAACTCTGGGAACCCTTGATATCTTAAAGTTCCTCTGATTATCGTCTGTGCTTCTGGTATATTATATCGTTGCTTATATGGCGTGGAGTCTCTATTAGGATATGCCACGAACGCAAATCCTGGATATATGAAGTAAGGTTTTGCTGCTGCCATTAACTCTTGGTCCGAAACTGTTATAATTTTGCCTTCCTGGTAGTATTTTGCAGCATTCCTTAAAGCCAATAAAACACCCCTCGAAGACCAAGAGAATTTATAGCCTAATGGATTATCAGACGCCTCAGGTGAAGGTAGCCCACCGCAGTATGAAATGAAAGAATTAATCTTTCCCCCAGCACTATGCACTTCTTCGATAGTTTTAATGGCATATAGGTGATCAAGTCCAGGATCTAGACCGATTTCATTCAATACTGTAATACCCGCTAGTTTGGCCTCCTCATCCAGTTCAAGCATTGCCGGTGAGACATAACTTGTGGTCACCACGTTCTTCTTGTTTCTTATTGCAGACTTGATGACCAAAGCATGAAAAGTGTATGGAATTAAACTTATCACTAGATCATTCTTTGATACTTCGATATCGAGAGCGTTTGCATCATTTACATCCAAAGCTATTGGCTGCGCATTTGTGATGCCCTTGATGAGTTTCTCAGCGCTGAGGATGGTTCTGCAAGCTGATTCAGGGTTAGTTCTAAGTGTTATTGTGGTGGGATGCTTATCTTGCCGACAGTCACCTGAATTCCAGCATTGCTAAGAATATCAAGAGTGGGGCGTGTGACAAAACCTGCTCCAAGCAAGAGAACTTTCCTAAGTCACACTTAGCATTGGGTTAATACAGACATCCATCTTGCAAACTCACTTAGGCGTAGCCATGATTAATAAAGACCTTCACGATATAGCAAATAACGGCGGAGAATGTGAAGTGCCTTGGAGAATTTGTACTCTGTGCATGACCCCTCCCTTTCAGCCCCTGCTACCCCGATGACCGGAAGCAAACAAACTAGTGCCTGTACTTAGCGCCGGACAGCGATCTAAACACCGTTTCATCCAACGTCAATCTCTTGTCCCCCTAAGTCTCTTCTTTCCTTCATTATTACTTTCCACTATGTCTTCAATGGACGTATTCTGGGCGGCACCTCCTATATCAAGGTTCGTCTCTATTTATTTTTAACCAATCAAACGTGCAATGATTAACTCGGTAAAGGACTCTCGCCGCTTCAGCTTTCATTCTCTCGATTTCGGTGTATACTGGGTTCGTACCTTTCCACGCTGTCATATTTGACCCCAAAAATATTTGGACAATCCCCCCACAATTGTGGCGGTTAGTCACTCCGTTCTTGATAACTGGAAAAGAGCTTGGGATCATATTTGACACATATTTTTGTAAGAATATCCTCACGCTCGATACCCTTTTCAATTAACTCCTGAAAGTATATCAATATGGATCCAAATTAGAGACATCTTCCCCAAAATTCTCCCAGCCTGGTGATTTCGCAACTTATATTTTGTTTGTTAGCTCCGTCATCGTGGTAAGCTTATGTTTCAGTAAGAGTCTAAGTAATCATTTACCTCATATTATCTGCCCGCACAGTGCATATCCTAACTGATGCGGTTCCTGGAAATGAGGGAAATTGCCCCGACAGCACATATGGTCACTATTCACAACCTCAAGTGTCATATTGTGCTGTCGGCATGGTGGGAAGCTGTAACAAAACACGACTAAGATTCATTCATATCTTAGCAGTCTTTGCAGCACCCTACATAAACAGATCTCTGCATGGATGTACTTCGTCAATTGTCGTGCTTGTAATTGACTTCTCTAGGGTCTTAATATGTTCATAGATGGCTTCATATTTACTTCGGCTTTAGTTCTCGCCTTTGCGTATACGTCTTGTCAGGATGATAAGGGACAGAAAGCTAATTTCTACATAATTACTATACCTGCTCTATGGGTACCATACGCAATGTTACTCGTCAACTTTCTAATGGCTGGTCCTGAGGTCGCAAAGGTTCAAGTAACAGGATTACTCGCCGCCCATCTTCACTACTTTTTGACTCATCTTTGGCCAACATTTGGAGGTGGAAAAAACTTAATACCCACCCCTGGCTTTATCCGGAATATTTGGGAGCAAAAGCAACCATCAACCCAGGGCCGTGGATACAGCACATCACATAAATCATTTTCTCCTCAGAATCCTCAATCGGTACCTGGTAGAACTAACAGAATACTTCCTCAATCATGGCAAAGCCGTGGCTCTGGTCATAGGCTAGGAGGCAACTGAATTATCCAGACACAGATCAAAATTCTTTATCTCTATCTAGGAGCATACTATGAACTTCTAGCCACACTAATTGATGGAAGTACCAGCCATATAGCCAAGATTCTGTATCAAAACGTGATATGAGAAATCAGCGATCGGACCTATTTCATCATTGGTTTATATACAATCTCAAATAAACCTCTAAACTTACGCCGGCCTCATCCTGCTGTAGCACGGAGCGCACATGAGTCCTACAAAATCTCGGGTTAGTAAACGCTTACCAGTCTAGACTCATCGGAAGGCCGAATAGATATACCAACGGCCTGATCTGCAATAAAAGGTAGTAATTTTTCGTCACATAATTTATCAGATCCTTTCAGTCAGTATATCTTTAACGGCGGCGAATCTACATCAAAGTACTGTATGTATGTAAGTGCATTATTTCACAAAACATACCAGCTACATTCCTTATGTTGAATCAGTTTTTTCGCAAGAAAGCACACATATGGTGTTCAATACCAACGTATACCCAGCTAAATTCATCCGTAAATAGCTTAATAAATGCTTCCAATAAAGCCAGTAGATGACTTGACTATGATGAAAATTATAATTATTTTGGTCCATCTTTTGTGTTGCGAGTAGAGGGAAAGTAACGATATGTTTGAAACGTAACAGTAGGAAAGTATAGGAATAACTACGCATCGATTCCGTAGCACTATTATCGCGCAAGATACTATTTTTCGCAGTTCGTGATAACAGAAACAGTGATGAACCACGATAACGTTTACTAGAAAGAAATTAATAGCTAAGTAATGCTGATATGACGCCTTGAGACCCGTGCAGGGACCTTTGAAAACATGAATTTGGAGTTGAATGGCTCAGTCACATTTTATTTGCGATCACCACTCTAGGTTAGCCCAGTCGACATACGATATCTTCCGTGCATGCACCTCACAGGGAAACGCATGGAAGCCCTGTGGCCGTCCGAGAGTATTCGTGCAGCCTCCCAAATTACAAAATCATCATTACAGGCTGCTGCATGAATGATCAACTTGAATCGAACGAGATTTATCCTATCTGGAATGGGCATAGTGTTAAACCTCCCTAGTATTTACATGAGAAAGCTGCCTAGATTATGTGCCACTGCACCATTCAACTCATTAATCTAATATAACAATTTTAAATTGCACTAAAGTATAGTTACGTGGTATTACGGAATCTGGGCCCTTTAGCTGGACTGTTGGAAGATAAAATTTTCTTTGAATTGCATTGAATTGAGTTCATTCTTATTTTATATCCTATCTGGTATCTATATTATGGAACCCCGAAGACGGTAAGCTGCTTTGGTTAGTGAAAAGGCTTTTAACAAAATTCACTCTCCTGCAAATATGAACCGACCCGGATTAATGCTGAGGACGTTCCTTCGAACCACAAATTTGTAACCTTCTCCCTAATTCATTAACTCCTCCTTCGATCAGACTATCGATATGAAAAATTGAAAAGGGAAGGCGCCTCCTCACTCGGCGTTGGTCTTCGAAGTGTTCGAAGAGTAGGTCCCGATGGCGGTGCCACTGGGGCTTCGACTACCTTGCGCAACCGTCTCGGCCCTCTTTTGAATCCTTCAGCCTTTTTACTGGCGACTGAAGTAAATCCATGATCATCAGTCTTTCCGACTGTTCGTGTTGGCGCCGTTGTGGGGGTTTCATTCCATATATCAGGCGTTCTTGATAGCAACTCCATCCGAGCCTTCTCCATACTTCCCTTGTAGACTTGGTAGGACCGACACGCTGCTTTTTGTCGTGAACGATGTTCCTTACTGCAGCTCGCGCACGAAACACTTTTCCTCGGATAGTCCCGAATTTGGTGACCACACGTGCGCGGTGAAGAGCCTAGCTTTTGCGACAGGGCTATTAAAGGTGTGGAGGTTTCTGGATTGACAGAAGTGAATTGTGACCTTCAAGTTAATACTGTATGAATCGTGAGATATTCGGGGATTCAGGATCAGAGATAAAAGGTTAGGATCAGTGAGGTTTTTGGTTTTGACGAAATTACACCTGTTAAGAGTGTTAAGTACTAATCTTCATTTGTGAGCGGATGTATATTTAAGTATAATCAGCTCTAGTTATGTGGTATTGTAATATATGAGGACTGGCAGTTACGCAGGCAGTGAAGATGATACGTGCGTACATACACATAAGAAGGGTGGTCTTTTTAGGGGGGTTTTTTTGAATCGTTTAATGTGTATTCAGCTATAGAGCTGACACATGACCAGTGCTATCTTTACTTGTGGAATGGCTCTTTTGACGTTAGAGATACTCATATTCTCGATTTCATTCGCAAATACCACTATGAGGTATGTTCGCTTACATAAACAGTCGACCCTCCTCCGTAAGTACCCACCAAAGGGACATTTCAAAACCTTTGGTTATCCAAGCATGCCTTCGTCATCCATGCATACCAGCGCCGCGAGAAAAGTGGTTGTGTTTTGCTGGATTTGAACCAGCGATCTACTGTCTCGAGTGGGATATGTGTCCAAGCTATCCAGACTCTACTTGGCAGACCGCCCAAGACGATGTACCACCGCACCACCCAACCATGGCAGTTTTTATAGTGTCGCCTGCACTCTCGCAACCGAAGACTTAATGAGGCCTAGGCAGGAGTCGAACTCGTTGGGAGCGAAAAAACGACGTGGTGGAGTAATTTGAATCATTGCCTCGTGGGCCAACTTCTTTGATATTGCGAAATTTGACTGAACTTGGCTCTAGGAGAATGTTTCACTCCCAGGTTCGTAGAGGACACCGCGTACAGGTGTTCAGTCTTGCCCTCCACTCTATGACTCAAGTAGTACAATAAACATACCACTCTCTCACCTAATGGCCGCAGACTGGAGGGCAAGACTGAACACCTGTACGCGGTGTCCTCTACGAACCTGGGAGTGAAATATTCTCCCAGAGCCAAGTTCAGTCAAATTTCGCAACATCAAAGAAGCTGGCCCACGAGGCAAAAATTCAAATTACTCCACCATGTCAATCTTTCACCCCCAAAGAGTCCGATTCTCAACTAAGCTTCATCAAGTCTACAAGTACGACCTAGTACATCCTCGTTTCAATGACCACACCTCTCGTCGACTTTCTCTGGCCTCAGCCGGCCACCAAATACACGCCCACGCCGATATTTATACCCGACGGAGGAAGCAAAGCGTGGAGCACAATTTTGGGAGATAGCTCTTTGGGACGGACGTGAGAGGGATCAGGATAAGTTCACAAGATGATGCAGAAGAGGGATACGTTTTCGACGGGCGTGGAATTTTGAATTTTGGCAAGAGTTTTACGAATTGAGCTTTGTGCGCGCCAAGACTTCGCTTGCGAGAGTGCAGCTGACACTATAAAAACAAGCAAACGATGGAAGGTGTTGTGGTCCGCCTCCTGGCGGTGTTCTCCGGTATAGTCTGAGTAGCCTGGGCACCTACTCCACTTGGGAAGGAGACACCTCAGATCATATTTCGCGCGGAGAAAAGTTGATGGATGACGGAGGCATGTCTGGATAACTCAGGGTTTTTGAGATGTTCCCCTGAGTGGGTATTCACGGATGAGGGTTGACTTGGGGTGAAGAAAAAGCCACCATAACTTCGCAGTGGTACTTGCAAATGAAATCCGAGGCATGAGTGCTCCTCTTGTAGATTGAATCATCTTTTCTGTACTTTTCTTTGATATTGTGTCATAGCTAGATAGCTGCATACGCAATTAAAATCTGATGCAAAAAAAAAAAAAAAAAAAAAAAAATATCAGATGTCGCATTTTTGTTAGGCGGTCGACTATAACTAGAATCGCGTCGTAATTTTCGCTCGTAGGTAAGCCCGTCACAAAATCCATTGAAACCTCTTGCCATGGCTGTTGTGGAATTGGTAGAGGCCGAAGTACTCCAAATTTCGCGTGGTTACTAGACTTAGACCTGTGACACGTGTGGCAATTGCGAACATACTGAGAAATGTATTTACGCATCTGGGGCCAAAAATAATCTCTGCTAATAATTTCAAATGTTTTTTCGCGACCAGGATGTCCAGCAGATGGATTATCGTGATAGTTCTTAAGGATGTAAAGTTTAAGTGGGTCGTAGTTAGGTACATATAGCACGCCCCTGTATGTCAATCTTCCATTTATTTCGGTACACTCGGCTAATGATATTTGATTTGAGTGTCGTTCGCCTTTCGTGAGTAGATCTAGCAATTGAAGTGGTATTGGATCGCGTTCATAACCTCTTGAGAATAAATTTTCCAATAACTTATTACTGGGGAACTTGTCTTTCAAAATATTAACCGATGACAATTGTAGTTGAGGCGCCAAGTTTTCCTTCTTCAGGACTATTTGACTTTGGTGTTTTATCCTTTCATCGTTAATGTCGGGAAAATCCTCTGATCTCCGGGTTAAGGCATCAGGTTTTCCACCCTGTTTTCCTGGTCTATATTGGATGACAAAGTTAAAACGTGAAAGATATTCGGCCCACCGAGCTTGCCTTCGGTTGAGTTGTTTAGTGCTCATAAAATATTCCAAGTTTTTATGATCAGATATTACGGCAATAGGGTAAGCAGCACCTTCTAGTTCAGCTCTCCATTCTTCAAACGCTCGGATAATTGCTAGGAGCTCCTTATCATAAATCTCGTAGTTACATTCTGCGGGGGAGTGTTTTTTCGAAAAGTATGCTACAGGTCGAAGGTTATGTTTGTCATCAAATTGGGAGAGGATACCTGCAGCAACATAGTCGGAAGCATCAGTCTCAATAATTATTCTTTTATCTGGGTCAAAATGGGCTAAGATTGGTGCAGTTATAAAGGCGTTTCTTAATGCTTTAAAAGACGCTTCAGCTCGATTATCCCAAATGAAGGGTGTGTCTTTTCGCGTTAATTTGGTGAGTGGTTGTGCTAGTGCAGAGAACCCATAAATAAATCGCCGATAGAAATTAGAAAATCCTAAGAAAGCTTGAATATCTTTTACTTTCCTAGGTATAGCCCAGTTTTTGATGGT